AATTGCAATGGGTCTGAGGGTCCTGGGGTCTGGGGGTCCTTAGCCCTGCTGCTGGTAAGTGTTGAAAATTACTGTCGACTTGACTTGTTGCCTTTTTGTTTTTGCCCTTTTTTGCTGATGGAGGGAGAACAACAATAACATTACATACACATGTGTGTATGCAGGGACCCGCCATTAATGGGCAAAAATTACTGTTTACAAGTGGGGAAAACTCCATCTAGCCGGGCTCCTCCAGCTCGAGTGCAAGTTTCGTGTTAAAATAATAAACACATAGCAAAAATTGTAGCGCCATGCGAGGAGGCATGAAGGAGGACTGAGGCATAATTCCATTACAGAACTACTCCAGCTCCGGGCACATAAATTATATTAAAAACAATATTTTCACCCGGCTCTTCGAACTCGACTCAACTGAACTTCACACGCCAAAGTTTTAACATTTTTTTCCTCACCCTGGGTTTTTGCATTTTAAATTGCCGCGGACAGGAAAATGCCGTGGCAAGCTTAAACAATTACCTCGAAACAAAGAGCAACAAAAAATGATAATAACAAAACTAAGAGCGAAAAAACAATATGAAATTATTATAATGACAATTAGTGTTAATTGTCACTTTAGGCGCGGAATGCTGCTGCTGAAATTATAATTTGCCCAGTTTAGAGGAAATTTGCATTTCAAATGAGTTTCTTTTTGTTTTTCTTGCCGTTTGTTTGTTTGTTTGTTAGTTCGCCCGGCCTAAGCAAATAATAATAACAATAATAATAATAACGCAACATGAAAGTCAATGGGAAATTAAAATTTGTAATTACTCAATTATTTTGCATAAATCAAAACGAGAGGAGATCCTCTCCTCGCTCTCCTGTTCCCAATAAAAGGACCCTAAAACTTTCTGTCAGGGAAATGGCGGCTCCTTAATGACAATTCTGTGTAGCTCGTCAAATCGGTGGCTTTTTATTGGCAGGGAGAGGCCGGACCATAAAGATTTTAATGATTTGGCAGTGGGCGTTGGGCAATTAAGCCGGTTCGAGTCGGAGTTTGGGAAAATTTAATTAAAGCCACGACAAAAACGCGTACCAGTGTCTATTGTTGGCTCAAATAAATTGAAACCATTCATTATCGGGACGGCAAAAGAACTGTGTGTGTGTGTGTGTGTGGGTGGAATAATTAAGGCAACTGGCTGGAATATTGAGTGATAAATGTATCTCAATCTGTGCATGCCAAATTTATCTCCCTCTAATCCTTTCTTTGATTACTCCAAGCCATAATTCAGCATTTGTCAGTTGTCGTTCGCATTTCGCCTTTAAGTGCCAAAAGTTTGAAGGGATAACGTTGGGAAATCATTAAAAATATTTCAATGACCAGCACCGAAAGGGAAACTTTACAATATTCCCTTCCTGCCTCACATAAAAAGCGAGAGAAAAATAAAAATCAGAACTCTGAAATCAAATTGAAATGACGCACTTAATGGCATTTTATGGTTTATGCGCACTTTTATTATTCCACCTCCCTGTTCTTTTTTTTCCTTTATCTATATATTCGGACACTTTTTCTGTGCTTTTCCATTTCACATAGAGTTTCCTCCGAAAAGTTTGACCCTTGGAAAAGCAAAAGAAAAGCCGAGTGACGTCAGCTGCGGTCTCTTGACTCTTTTTGGCCAATTGGTAATTTCGTTATTAGTCACGCTCTTTGCGCTTCATTAATGTTCATTACACATAAATGAACCCACATCGATTGATATTTTTCAACTTGCCCGCCGACGGCAGCGGCGGCGCCGTTGTCGTTGGCGGTTTTTAGTGGCCGTAATTTTTGTATTGTGGTTGACGTTTTTGCGGTTTCTCCCCACCCACTGGCCATGCGTGCATTTCCCTCGATTTTCCCTTTCCCGTATTTATTCACGAAGCCGAAAAAGAAGCGAATCCAGCGAAAAGGGTTGCTCGCATGGCCAATTTCCTACGATTGATACAATTAATTATATAAATAAACATTTTTATTTATATTTATAGGAAAATTTGTCGAGACACAAACTTTGAACTTTCCCTTCTCCTCCACTCGCAGACACATATGCTTCGCCCTGCGAGTATCCGGCAATATCCCCCTAATACAGATAGGGGTTGCTGCCCACGGGCCGGGAATTTATTGTACACGCTTAATTGAACATTGGCAACTTGAAAGGTTGAGCAGCTGATTGACTCCGCCTCCGAGCCCGAGCACCCTTGTACCATTTTTTATTTATTTCACTTTTTTTTATGACCTTTCGCTGGGTAGCAGAACGAAATTCCAGAAATCGTTGCAAGTTATTTAAAATAGGATTTTTTATTATGCGCTTAAACAGCTGGAAATTTCATTTTGGTGTATTAAAAATGCAGGGGATTCGGGTCTCTCTCCCTCGTGCTCGCTGGCTGGGTTCATTTCGGGAGGAAAATGGGTCAGAGTCAGCTCTGGCTGGGCCGAGATGATTATGCCACTTGAGCGGCTTAGACTGATAAATCCATATGGCGGGCTTCAGTGCGCCCTGAAGTGGCACAAAATCGACAGAATAATGTGTGATGATGACGATGGCCCTGGCTCTAGATTAGATTAGAAGGTTTCTGAGCCGAAAGGCTCAAGTTTTGGGAATCCCCAGAAGGGCTTGCACAAATGCCGCTCATTAAACCCGCAAGGAAAGTGGAAAGTGGAAAGCGGAGCAGGCCAGCTGCCTGGAGAAACGCAAACAATTAATAAATTTTTAAGTGCTTGGCAAATCGTGCCCCGCACGCTGACCCCAAAGTTCTGGACACAAACCAAACTCAAACCTTGCAAATGGCTCTGCACACAATACATTATTAATTTTCGCCAGCTACCATACTACACCCCCTCACTCCCTGGATGCACAACAAACAGCGCTTAATTTGCCAAATGGTTGCTTCTACTTTTCCACTCCCCCACTTCTACACTCTCCAGTGCACTTAATGCAAAAAACTGCAAGTTGTAGTTTACTTTTTATTCATGGGACAGCGGGGGAGTTGGCAAAAAAAAAAGAAAATAGGGGAAGAAAAATGGTCAGAGGGCGCATATTCAACGCGCGAACGGGCAAAAGATGCAAAATACCTTGCCCAGAAAATTGTGCAAAAGCGGAAATCGGTAAAGAAGTTAAGGGGAAGCACAAAAGCAAAGCCAAAATGGGGAAAACTTCTTATGAGAGTGAATGGAGAAGGGGGAAGAACATACAATAGAGCTTGATATAGCAGGGATGGGGATAAGTAGAACACCCAGAAATTCTAAAGATCTTATAAAATACTTAATATTGTCATTTAAGTTTGTAAAAATCTAAATATAGAAACTAAGCCTGAATACCAGCACAAACATTCCAGTGCAAATATTCGTAAGGCGTTACGCATCTTATCTATTTTCAGCTCTATAAAATAAAGGAGTCTCTCTGTAAGTCTTTCTCTAAATAATGTTTGATATTTTCATTAATAAAGATCCCTTCTGATTGCCTTAACACTAAGCTACCCCCTGTGTTTCGTTTCCAGGGTATTCACATTTTACAAATAGTAACAAAACTGAGCTGGCCAGAACCACTGCTCCCTACTGCTCCCTTTCTGCAACTCCCTGCGAAAGCTTTAGAGTTAATTGTAGCGGAAAACTTAAACCAACTGCGTTGCGTTGCGTAAAGCGGGGTCAGCTAAAACAGAAATTCATTAAAACTTTGCATTGTGCTCGAAAATTACCCAACCAACCAACCAACAACTGCTGCTACTGCTGTTGGAACCAGCTAAGGCAACATTAAGTACTGGCTTATTGCAAACTAATTTGTCCAGGGTGATTTGGCCAAGAGAGAGAGAGAGATTTTTCTGCGAGGGGAGAAAGTTTCGGCTTGCCCCTCATCCTGACAGTGTCGCTGATGACGCGACAAAATCCAATTAATACGCTAGACAAATAAAATGCTGGGGAAATGGCTGGGATCTAGGATCTCCTCTAGAAGAGGGTGGCATTTCGGAGCGTTTAGATAAAGCAATAACCAAATGTGTCTACGAACAAACACACGCGACTCTGCATAACATTTTTGTCCCTTTTTCGGGTTAGTCAAACTTCAGGCGGCACACACTATATCTCAATATGTGTATATATACTTTGTGGTTCTGCTTGGGGTCCTCTTCAGTCCTTGTCGCCATGTCTGGCATATGTGTCCTTTGCCGGAAATGTATTTGTGTATGTGCCAGAGCCACGCGCTTTGTTTACTCAAGTTAACCAGAAAGTTTTCTTTAAGATTTACGCTTAAGTTATACGTGATAAAACTTTTATCACTATGACTTGTTCGCCTCGCCCTTCCCATATTTCTGTTAGTGTCTGCGGCTTTGATAGAGTGCTTAGCGGTGGCAGACGATGAAGAGATTTGCCGGCTAATTGTTCAGTCGATATTAACCGATATTGGATATATATGAAATGGCTCGGGAGAGTGCAGCCAATAAGCGTCAGCAGTGGAGGATGCAACCCCTAAGCTGGAATTCTTAATCTTTTGCTTTTTGTTGTTTCCATTTGGGAGTGAAGACAGCCAAGGGGCTGATTCCGTATGCTTGGCATGTCACAAAATTCAGTGTTTATATTTGTTTAAGTTTATTGAACAGCTGAAAACGCTACACAGAGAGGAAAGTGTGTGACTAACATTAATACCAGACTGTTTTCAGAGGTGAGAAGTACCTAAAGCCTGAAAGCAGGCTAAAATTCAGAACATTATTACATTTCTTTTACCCCCAGAACTAATTACCTAATATCAACAACTTTATGTTCTATTTCTCCCAGTGCAAAAAAAAGGGGCTTCTCTCCAAGAGAAAACTGGAAGTTACTTGAGTACTTTGATGGCAGCAGCTTATATCATCGCAGTTCTGCGAGGGGGCGAAACTTTTATTAACATAAACTATGAGCCAAGGCAGCCCTGCTTCTCGAGGGCATAAATTTCACTTGGAGTTGGCGCACAACTTCGGGCAGTATATCTATTTAAGGAGAACTATGGATATGGACTCACCGTTATGGCTATGTCGTGGCTGGCGTCGCATGTGTCCAGCTTGCGGCGGAAGCGGAGCACCGTGTGCGTGGCGTTCTCGTAGCCCAGCATCAGCATATAATCCTGCGAGGGATCCACCACCGGCTCGGGGTCTCCATTCCTTGTGACGTGTCGATCCTGTAATTAAATGCAGCGAAAGCGAACGGGGATTAATGAATGGGTAAAATGGCGAGAAAAAGGTGGGAAAAATGCTTAATTTACTCAGTGTTTTCTCGCTACTTTCAGGCGATTCTCCCGGCTCAGTTTCGAATTCGTATTCGTTTTCGTTTACGGTTTGTGTGCGAATTCGGACATATTTTCATGTCATTAAAGAAGGAAGCTTCCCCAGTTGTTATTGCTGACCCCGACCCCCCCGCAAGGACTCAACTTTCCCAGCATGTGAGCAGCTCTCAAGTTTTTCCCAGTCTCTGCTGCTGTTGCTCTTATTTTTCTGGCAGTTTTTCCGTAAAAACAATTTAAATTTTGCACCCAGTCCCTCCCTGCACTTTTGGCTTTTCCAAGTGTTTTGACAGAGTTGCCAAGTTTAAAGTTGCATAAGTAGTTCTGCCCAGGCCAGGCCAAGTATGGAGCGTAGGAGCAAACCCTTTTTTTGGTTTAAAAATACAAAAATTTCCTCCAGAAAGCTCCTTGCTCCCCGACCTGCTTTCTTCTCCAGTGCTTTTGCACATGTCGGCCTGGCCGTCGAACACAGAAGCCAGATATCCCAGATATCCGTGGGTGTATGTAAATTCTTATACATATAACAACATGACCCCTGTCTGCCGCCTGCTCAATATTTGGGAAATGTTCTCTCAGCTTGTTGTGGCTGAGTGCCGGCTCCTGGGCTGGATAGGTGCCCGGGTAAAAGGATTCGGCTTTTCATATTGGCAGTTGACTGCAAATGGGCGTTATGGCTGTCAGAGTCCTCTGCCTCCGCCTCCTTACCCGGCCTTCCCAGCTTTCCGGCCCTCTTCATCTTTTTGTTGTTTGGCAAAAATTTTGATGATGTTGCCAAAGTCAAAAGTGAAGTGGCAAGGGCTGGGAGATGGGGCTTTGTTCCTTCTCCTTGTGCTCCTTCCGTAATTGAAGCTGATGGAATTCAGAGGGGAGGTGGAGTTGTCTTCGAAGTAGATTTTTCCAAACATTTTATTGATTTCATTATTTTATATGGAAATAGACTGGATGCAGAAAGCTTTTTCGAAAACTCACTTTTGCTTTGCTTCTGCTAAAATATTTACAGACTGAGTCTGGGTTTCACTTTGATCGAAATCGATTTGAATAAGGAACTATTTTTCAGCAAAAGAATATTTTAAGGAAACTTCTTCATTTAAATTGAATAAATATATACTATAAATACTCTTTTATATTTCTAAATATTTTTAAATTATATATCTTTTTTTAAGCTCTTATACTTCCTTTTCACCTGAAAATCTTTACCTTTCCTAGGAAAACTCACTTCAATCTCAAGCACAATATGAAATATTCCTAAAAATAATTTGTGTGAAAAATACATTTGATATCTGTGAGAAAATTCATTTGATCTCCTCTTTCCATTTGATAATTTCGCTCTATTCATCTAGGAAATGGCGCCCTTTATCATTTGCAATGAAAAGCGCGCAGCTGATGGTCAGTTTTCCGTGTTCTCTCTCTAAATACATATATTTCTATATCTTTATACACAATGTTCCCTCCGCCACCTGAACATTTGATTTATCTGCGCTAATGCTCCATCTTTTATCACACTTAACGGGATGTGCACTTTCCCAAGCTGTGTTTTCCGGCTGACAGATTATGGCGCATAGAAAAAAGTTATCCATCTGTCCTTTTTCCAGCTTCAGCTCCTGCTCCTGCTCCTACTCCTGCTCCTGCTCCTCACCGCATCTCATCTTGTTGGGGATAGCAAAATGAGCGTTTTCCATCATCTAATTACAACGAAATTTCCCACTCGCACACACACACGCACACACACCTGAGGCTGTTGCAATTAATTTGGGCCAATTTATATCATCTGGATGCCGGGGCTGCGTGTTGTTGCCGACCGAGAGACGGACGGACAGAATTACATGCCGGCATTTCATTAATCATATCTCAGGCTCCACGCTCTCTGCGCCATTTGCCATTTTAGTTAGCTAATTAAAAGTTTTTTCCTCCTGCGCTGTCTCGCTCTGTCGCTTTGTTTCAGTGGCGAAACATTTAACATAAATTTTGGTTGTAAATTTGTAGAAATATTTTCCATCTATGGCGGAGATAATTGTCCCGCTTTCCCGCCTGTTTTTTTTTTTTTTTAGGCAAAGAGGAGGCTTCATAATCTGGAAACGCATAATTCAAGATCGCAGGCGCGCAGTTCCCGTTTCCCGTTTGCGCCTGTTTTGCACAGTTTCCCTTTTAATTTCACATTATCAACGCTCGCACACACATACACCTAGAATTACATATACACACACATAGACCCACCTTGACATGTTTCTCGCTTATCTAGAAAAAAGAGAGACAGAAGAGAGCGGGGCGAAAGAGACAGTGCGAGAACTGACGGAAATTAAATATACGCGCTGCAATGTTGCAAGCACCAACATGAACGAACAGGAACGAACACGAAGCGACGTTATCAAAATCTGCGTGTGCGTGGGCGTGGCTAAAAAGGGGCCGCCGGATGAGGGTGGGGGAGGCGACCACCCCCGGGGTCGTTGGGGGGGGTAATTATGCAAAAAGGGAAGGCGCATAAATTTGCAATATTCTTGGAGCTGCTCTCAAATGCCAACGACGTTTAAACTGCTCACAACTTTTTTTTTGTATTTTATAGGTGGTGTGTGTGTGTGAGTGTGCGGGTGTCTCTGTGTGCGTGAGGTGCAAAGAAGAAGCAGAAATGTCGCCTGGAAGGAAACTCTAGCCGTTAAGTGCGGTACATTAGCTTTCCCATCAAGTTTGTGATAATCTAAAGATTTCGTTTGAAAACGAAAGGATAATGGAGATTTCTAGGCTGACAACAAACTCTGGTAAATAAACTTTAAGTTACAATTGCCTTTGAGGCTTTTTATTTGTTTAAATAACAAAGGAAGTAAAAATATATCTATCTTACATCCTTTTGTTGCAGCAAATGTTTCTTTATTTTATAAACATGTTAATCAATCATTGAAATTTAACTATTGTTTAAATAATTGAATATTGCTTCTCTTCCTGCCATATTTCCAACACTTCCCGTAGGGTATTCCCCGGGGAACTGCTTTAAATGGTTGCCGTCGCTGGCACTTGCCTTTTAAGTTGCATGCCACGTTGACTCCGCTCTCTTGTTGTACTTGTCGCGGGTCCTTGACGCTGCGTCCTGCTGTCGCCCACTCACCTGGCCCGGCAGGACCTCCTCCGCAGCCACGCCATTTCCCATTTCCCTCATTCCCTCATTCCCTCCATCCGGAGATCCCGTTCTCGTTGCCGTTGTCAACGCACACGTTTTTTTAATTGCTGAAATTTTATCACACCTTCATGGTTCGCAGGACTCGTAAATTGTAATCCTTGCGCTGCGCTCGACGCCTGGCGAGTCGGCTTCAGCCTGAGCTTCAGCAGGACTACTTCTGCTCGAGCAGACAGCTCCTTGCCCTGGTTTGGCCTTTTTGCGATGTTGTCATTAACGTCGCTGCCTCTTAAGCATTTAATAGCCTTGTCAAGACTTTAATGCCTTTTAGCCGGAGCCCCGGCTCCTCCTAATATGTATGTGTGTGCGGCGTTGGTGGGCGGGGGGAAATCAATAAAAGCAGCGCACAAATTAAGCACCTTTTGAGCTTTAGCCCCCACCCCCCCGCTGCCAGTTGGTTTACTTTGCTTTTCCAGGCCGCAACGTGAATTTAATAGGATTATGCAGCAAGGATGTTGGCAGGAGCGCAGGGCAAGGACAAGGGGTCCCAACTTATGCAAAGCCCTACCACTCAGTGTCACTGCATTCGCTGAAAACCCCTTTTCACAAGCCTAATTGTCCTGATTTTCGCCTGATGGAAACTTTTCACACTCTCTACTCTCCGTTCCGCCCCCAAAGTTTTGTTATGCCAAAAACAAACTTCGGCAATTTATGATAATTCAACGTCAGCTGGGACAGTTCAGTGAAGTACATACTCGCACACTCGGGGGTAACCATCATCAGGACTCAGACTCAAGTCAGCTGAGCTGAGACGAGCTGACAGCTGGCCAAGGCAGAAGTGGAGGCAACGGCAAAGGTCTTAAAATATGCTCCAAGCACACATTAAACTTATTGCCAGGACCTCACCACTCCACTACACTACACTCCACTAATGCCGGGCATCGTGTACAGATTTGCTCCGGAGAGCAGGGCGAACAGCGAAAGGGTTGGTTCTACACCCACTCCACCCCCACCCACACATATCACACAAATATCAAAATGTTAGCTCTCCTATCGGTATATATCCAGAGTCGTACTAATATGTGCCGGGGCGGAGAGTTGCCAGCAAAGTTCGCTATGATGAAGGTTTGCAGTTTCCGACAGGTCTCCATGATTTAGATGGAGCGAACTCTGGGGAGTGGCTGGCGATGGAAAAACAAAGGTATTGAAAAGTCTGGGAAGGAATAGGATTTTCAGAGTTGCCAAAGGAATTTCTTGTTAGATTTTAAATCATTTAAAAATATGTCTTCAAGTAAGCTTCAGAGATTTCTTAGTGTTTTATTGCCACAGGAATATGTTGTTATATTTTATACTATTTAATATTTTCTTTAAGAAAGCTTTAAATATTTAATATATTTTCCGAAAATTCTCTTTAATTAATTTCAAGCCCTAAGATCCTAAGATCCCTTCCAAGAACTATTCAAGCTCACCTCGCTGACACGCCTCTTCCTGCTGGCAACTGTCTTAGCTATCTATTGCCATTTGCCAGTGCCAAAATTGTATGCAGCATCCATGCTCTCCCTACTCCCGCATCCTGTTAAGTTGGTGGCATTGTAAATTGTTTTCCTGTGCACTGCTTGTCCTTCCTTTCCTGCTCCGTTTCCTTGCCTGCCAGCCTGCACTTGATGTACTATATATGGCGAAGGAGCTCCGCACTTCCCGCTCTTGTTTTGGCTTAGGAATTGATGGCGTCGCCGTCGTTTGATGCCTTATGTACATTTGATTACGTATACGCTGTGTTGCCTGCCTATTT